AGTTCCAAGGGATCTGACACTCTCATTTGACCTCCGTAGGCATTATACAACATGGGTGCACTTACACACATGCAGACAATACACTTATATATATATAAAACAAAAAAATAATATTTTTTAAAAATAAAAAACCAGAACAAACCCTCATGTACCTATGACCTAGCTTCACCCACGATCAACTTCAGATTAATCTTACTTCATCTATACCACAACAGCCCCCTCCTACCTCAGATTTTTTTTCTTTCCATATTTATTTATTTATTATTAGTGTGTGTGAGTGAGAGGTGTGTGTTACTGCAGGTGTACATGTGTCATGGTGCACATGTCAGGATCAGAGGACAATTTTCAAGAATTGGATCTCTCCTTCCACCACAGATTCTAGGGATTGAACTCAGGTCATCTGGTTTGTTCTGCAAGTGCTTTTACCCACTGAGCTCAGATTTTAAAATTAATTATAGATATAGGTATAGACATATATATTGGGGGGGGGGGTTCTTTGAGACAGGATCTCCCTGTAGCTCTAGCTGGCCTGGAACTCACTGTGTACAATTTATTATGTTCTGTTCTCTAGGAGTTGGATATAGATACTGATCAAGTTCAGGTTGAATTTTTCTGGTAAGAATGCTTCCTAAGTGCTAGTGTGTATTTACAGTGAGGCAAAGGCCTGGTTCTTTCTTTCTGCTGAATTAGCAACCCTGGATGATCAGTGCTGAGATCCACTCTTTCACTATGGGCTGCCAAAGAGCAACATCTCATCTACTAGCTGGAGGATCTCATGGAGAACTCCTTCTTCATTAACTGGTTACCACGATATATGACTTGGATGAGAAACAAAGCAAATATTTAAATCTTTTTACCATATCAGTTCTCAAAATTGGTTCTCTGGTATTTTCCAAGGTAATCTATGTGTTTTTATTGCTATAGTTTTGTTTGTAAGAAACATTAACTCATAGGTTCGGCAACATGTTTAAATCTATATAAAACTGACCATCATAAAAAGTTCCTCCAAATTCAAGGTCAATGCAACTGTGCTCTTCTGTAACACTATTTTTACCACTTGTTTTTGGAGGCATACAAGTACAAATTTTATGGTGCATCCCTCTCCTGATGCACTAATATTTCATGAGTGAAGGACAAAACATGCTGTTTTCAATTCTCTCCCTTTCCTTCTCTTTGATACATTTTTCTGCTCTCCAAGATCCCAGATCCTGGCTCCTTCAAACTCTATCAACTGCACTGTTCCAGAACACTTGTGGCAAACAAAAAACCTTTCTCTTTCTTCAATACCTACAAGCATTTTTCATAGATGTATGCCTTATGATACTTCAGTACTCTTCTGGAGGGTGTGGTAAAATAAGGTCTACCCGTAGCCTCAGCTAGCCTGGAATTTACTACATAGACCAGGTTGTCCTTGAGCACACAGAGATCCACCTGCCTCTGCTCCCTGAGTGTTGGGATTAAAGACATGTACCACCACATCCAGCTCATTTTTATTACTCTTGATGTTGAACTGTACTACTGTATTTCCTTACATGCCTTCATTTTGGTTTGGTTTGGTTTCAAAAAAGGGTCTTACTTTTTGGCCTAGGCTGAAGTGGAGCTCATGATCCTCCTGCCTCTATTCACCTTCCAGTTGCTAGGATTATAGGTATAATGCCATGCCCAGTAGCATATTTGTGTTTTTATTCTTCCATCAGATTCTAGGCTCCTTGCTAGATGCTGTGCACAAGGTAGGTGCTCAGTAGATGATGCTCAGCTGTTTATTCAGTCTTTCAAACTGCATAAAACACAAGACATAACGCTGCTTTCCTGAACACCTGGATTCTCAACATGTTCACTACCCTACATTGAACATTTGCAGATGGTTGTTAGCCGCCATGTGAGTGCTCCCTTCCACCACAGTTACTCTGTTCAATTCTTTTATCAAGAATGTTACCTGGTGTCAACTCATTGTTAGAAATAAAATCTGGGTCCCAAAGACCTTGATATAGCACAAAGAATACAGATAAAGCAAAAGTAAAGTAAATTGGCAAGGCAGCTTTTACTTTTACAAAAGGATGTGTTATCTCATTCAGCATTCAGGTAGCAAGCAAGCACATCTAGCAGAAAATCTGATGCGTTTTTATCTTAATGCAAGAATACTGCATACTATTGGCTGGGGTCTGATCTCACAGTCTTTTGCAATTGGCTAGTTTTAAAAGAATCAGAGCAAAGGAACTGAAAGAAAGGCAGAAGAGGCTAGCTGCTCCAGGCCATTGAATTCCTGGAATGCAAGCAACATAAACAAAAGTTCTACAAAGTGGGGGAGATTATAAAATAGCATTAACAAAGGCTACATTCCTGTGATCATTTCTAAAATGAACATGAGCAAAAACGTTTGTTTAACGATAGTTAATGACTTAACCAAACACAAGAAATTTCGCTAGTGTGTGACATATATTTATAGGGACATATTTAATTTAAAAAATTTTTATGTGTATGAGTGTTTTGTCTGCGTGTAGACACATGCACAATAAAGAATGTCATGCCGGGCGTGGTGGCACATGCCTTTAATCCCAGCACTTGGGAGGCAGAGCCAGGCAGATATCTGTGAGTTCAAAGCCAGCCTGGACTACACAGTGAGTTCCAGGTCAGCTGGGACTAAAGGAAGACCCTGTCTCAAAAAGACCAAAAAAATAAATAAATAAATAAATAAAAATAGCCATTCTCATTTTCTATTGTGAATACTGCTGAAAGAAACCATTTAACCATTCATATTTCAGGCCACCTCTATGTAACCTGCTTTTTGTTACTGGAGTTTTTAGGATTATTACTCAGTCCTTACAACTGCTAAGATACATTACAGCAGGTGTTTTCCCAGTTATTGGTGCTAAGCATTCATAGACCTTAAAATATGACTTTGAACTCTGAAAATTTTCTATGGTAATTATTTGATAATATCCTCTCTATACTTTTCTCTTTCTAGAATCTCTATTCATCAAAATTTAAATTTCTCTATCAAACGTTTTCTTCTCATTCTACTTTCCTGTAAATTTGATCTTCCAAATCTTCTATTGATTTTAGACATTCAGGTAGTCCATTCTCAATCCTGAAGAGTCCTCCCTGTTCAGACTGTTCTTCTTGCATGTGAATGCGCTCTCTCACAGCACTCTGCTCTTACTACAGACCCCTCAGCTTTTCTTTTCTGTGAGAACTTTAATTAGACTAGGTTTCCCAATGTATTGTTCTCTACTTTTTACATCCTGCTTCCTCTCAGACGCTTCGCTTCTTGATGGTTTTGGTCTGTCTCATCTTGGAGGCATTAAAATGTTGATAAGAGTAGACAGATGGGTTATTGATAAAGTGGCCTTCACCACAGTACAGTCAATGGGCAAACCAGCTTTTTCATTGGGAAATACACAGCATCTGTCTCTTCTCTGGGACTCTCGAGTCTGTCTTAAGAAGCACTTCCAGTCTTTTGGCTGCTGAGTAGTGGGTCAGCAGTCAGCCTGTGACTTGATATCATACTGATCTGTGCCTTTTCCCAATTCCCTAGAGTCTACACATCTTTAGCTCAGTGCCCGGTCCCCACCCAATCTTTGGAAGTACCTAATGTCTTGCTGTTCTGGGGTCTACCTTGCTTGCTTACCAAGGGTGGCCCTTTCCTGAGCACTCAAGTGACAGCTGTCAAGTCGCTGACTATTCCTCCATCTGAATTTACCACCACTGAAGAGGAGGGTGACAACAGCTCTGTGCATC